GGTTATTGGTGTGAGAAAGCTACAATATAATACTTTTAGTTTAAAATATCATATTTTATCGTCAGCCGCAATCTACCCTTTTTCGGCAGGTACAGGTAGTTGACAAGACGCGTAGAGGTATATAGTCGTTGTGAGACATCGTTAGACTCGTCTAGTATAAGGGTTGGCAACCCTGACAAGTCTACAAGGTGGGATGAGAAAAGTGATATGATAGAACGTCATAGAGGATCGCGGATGTAGCAACATCAGGCAGTATCTTCAATGTTAGCTATTCCTCGCCGGCATCTGAACGTAGGCAGAAGATGACACTAGTCTCGAGCAGAGTCCGTCGAGGCTCTTGTTCCAGATTACTCTAGGCCTTTGACGGATCTAAGGCCAGCTCTTCAAACACGTTAATTGAACTGTGCAGTTCAAAAGGTTTGTTGATTAATGAGCAGTTGTGATTATGTAATTACACAGTATAAGATGCCGTAATAGGGACATGATTGTCGGTCTGATCTGCGAAACAATAGTGAACATCGCACACAGTCGCTGGTGGCAGTAAATGCTGTTTGTTCTGTTGTGCAAGATTAGTTTTTGTTTCTGAACAAGCCAAATGATGCGAACAGACACTCATTTTTCTGTTATGATTATCCGACTGAAACCTGTGTCAGATTTTGAAATGTGTGATCAGCCAATCGTTCCTTGCTCTGGAACGAGGTTGTAACTCTTCACTGTTACACGACATATCAGATGTTGCGAACATCTTCCTGGCACATAATACACAAAGATTTACGTGAGTGAAGATACCTCTGAAGGGTGCCATCATGCGTTGCCTTCTGCTAACTTTTTATTTTCATGGTTATGGCCCAACTTTCTGCCACCTGATGCTGACTGTTGCTTGACCTCGGTTTGTCTTGTAGCACGTTATTCGTTCACTGTCTACAGGTCGCTGTCTGTGACTGTCTGTCGATCACGTTATCGCCTCCATATTCACTGAACTCCGATTGACGGTAAAGTTGGTGAGTCACCTCCCATGGTGGTAGCAATTAAGTGCTTGTTGTACTGTCTAGACCGAGTTTACGGTTGTTTCTCGAGATCACTTTTGCTTTGCCAGTTGGTTTCTGTATATTTCCTGACGTGTTTAATCGCAGCTGCGTGTCATTGCTCTTGACCGTTTTTGAAATGCGCATGAAATGTGTCATTGATGAAGTACTTCTGTTCTTCTTCGAGTTTTTGCTTCGAGGCGAAGTTTCTAGAATGCGAGATGAACGAAACCATGAATCTTAAGCAGCTTGTCCAAAACGACTAGAGACAGTCTGATGATAGAACAACAACGAACAGTACTGCAAACTCCCACAGCCGCCTTTATTCT